ATAGCTGTCCTCACAATCTGTTGTAGGTCAGGTTGGCACTAAGGAAAGGTGTGCAGGCTGGCGGCAGGGTGTAATTACCCAGACAAAAAGACACAGATACAGTATGTCATCCCTGCTAATGACCACGGCATTTTCTTGCCCAGTAATCTGTAACAAAAAGGCCCATAAACGACCAGGCCGCATTTAAGTGCAGCACTAAAGAAAAACTTAGTGGCACAAAAATTATTCCAGCCAATTGAGTGGAAATGACAGAGAATAATACGAGGTTATCTCTGCTAGGGAGATGTGTGTGTGGAATGTCACCAACGGGCAGTGCGTGGAGAAGGCCGCCCTTCCCTACAGGCACACTGCGATCTGCGTAAGTACGGGCGCTTCCCTCAGCACATGTCCGGGTTCTGCGACTCCTTCAGGACATCGCTGTGCTCACTTTCGAGGAAATGTCTTTGGAGGATATATTTTTTTCTTGAATGTATTATTTTTGTCATTGGACTATAATGAGGTCAGTTATCATCTTTTATTTTGCCATTTTTCTTCCTCCAAAGTTATTATTCAGCCAATTTTTTTCTGATTCTTAGAATAGATAAGTTTGAAAGACAATTTTCTTATTTTTTCCTTAGGTACACTCACAACACACACACACACACACACACACACACACACACAGAAAGATTTTAATGATGTGCTATTTTATAAAGCAGCAAGAGGTGTTTGTTTTTCCTGGTTTCCAATTTTAACCTTTTTTGGCTGGATAGATTCTGATTTTGTTATCCATGAAGAGAGCAAGAGGCATAGTCATAACCTTTGTAATCACTCCCCAATATTGAATACGGGCCATGGCTTTGGTAGACAGACTCCAGCATAGATGTAAGGTAGTCGCCCTGTCCCAGTGGTGCTGACAGATTTTCATATCTCACTCATTGCTTTTAGCATCCATGGCCTGCACTGCAACACGAACAAACTCTCTTCAGCGACCAAAACTGGTGCAGTGAGAGAGCCCAAGGGTAGACTATACTACACAATCTTTAATGAAAGCCATTCTCAAAACTTACTCAGCACCAGAATTCCTCAAATGCTCTTCAAATGCTTTTATCTCTTCTTAACATGTAGCAATGTTGCTAGAATAAGGAATCTGGGTTTTTTGTTGTTGTTGTTTAGTTCTACACAGAACTCCAGAAATAATAGAGTTGTGATCTTTCCATGACTTGGAATAAGATTCCTTCTTCACGAAAGATCCCCCTTTCTATAAAGAAATTATGAAATACAAATGAGACTAAAGCGCAAAATCAACACTTTAGAAGTAGGGAATAACTTAAGTCAAAGAAATTTTAGTTGCTCTTCAGTCTGATACCTTAATTGAATAGATGATAAAATTAATATCCAGAGAATTTATATTAATTGCTAGTGATAATTACATTTTTGCTTGAATTCCATTTGCACAGTATTACCACTGCTCATTCCGGATGACAGGAGAAGGCTGGCTTCTATGCTGTGGAGAATATCAAGACATTCTTATAATTGACGCCAAAACCTTGGTTCTAGTTCACACTTTCACATCGTCCCAGTCTCCTGATTGGATCAATTGCATGTGCATTGTTCACTCCATGAGAATTCAAGGTAATGGTTGGGTAATACATAACACTAAGAGATTGTATAGAAAAATATCACTTTGGAACTATTTGTTAAGTTATTGGGCAAGCATTTTTTTAAACATATTTTATTGATTTTTTACAGAGAGGAAGGGAGAGAGATAGAGAGTTAGAAACATCAATGAGAGAGAAACGTCAACCAGCTGCCTCCAGCACACTCCCCACTGGGGATGTGCCCGCAACCAAGGTACATGCCCTTGACCGGAATCGAACCTGGGACTCTTGAGTCCGCAGGCTGACGCTCTATCCGCAGAGCCAAACCAGTTAGGGCTATTGGGCAAGCATTTTGAATGCTCTTTATGTTTACTTGGTAGTGAGGATAGCTCCCTAAGCCAGATTAAGAAAAACTGGGACCACCCAGGCAAGTGGTTCAGGGTGTTGTTGGCAAGTCGGCACAAGGTTAAAATGTGGAAGAAGAGAACCCGTGTGTCCACCACCCAATTTTGCTTGGTACATTTTTAAAAGTGACAAGAATGGGTTTCTGGTGGATTAGCAGGACTCTTGGAACTTTGACCCTGCTGTAACTTCTAGCTGTGCTAGTGAAGAGAATTTCATTTCTATCATGAGCGACTGCCCAGGCAAAGGAAGGCTGGCTCCATACTGACATCTGGAATAGGAAGGTGTGATACTGCCAACAGGATGGTTTGTATGTGGTTCTGCTTTTAGTGCGGCTCTCCTTTTCTATGGGGTCACTTTGGAATTTTAAAATCAATGTAAAACCTAATCTAAAATGTTTATTTAAGAAAACAGCAAAGCTGAATATTTTCCACGGGCATAGACCTGCATAATCTCTAAAAGACTGTGAAATGATCTTTACATCAGCCAGTCACTGCAGTGGTCGGCTGATAGGCAACCATTGTTGTTTTTGCAGAAGATTCTCTCTTGGTGGTGTCAGTTACTGGTGAACTCAAAGTATGGGATCTCTCTTCATCTATCAACAGCATTCAGGTGGGCTTGTGAAACTTCCCCCCCCTCCATATGTATGGGCATATTTTCAATTACAGGGATAGTACATGCTTATTTTTGGAAGTTCAAATCATATAGAAGAGTTTACATTTTATCTCTGTGTATCTCTGTGTACCTCCCCTATTCCTCTTCCTGCTTCCAGTGCCAGGGGTGGGCATTGGAAACAGTTGAAGTGTGTCCTTCCATCCTTTTCTCCACGCACATGCAAATGTTTTTATCTACACACGTGCACACACACACACACACACACAGATTATGTTTTAATTAAAAATACAAATTGTAGAAGAATCTCATTCTGTCCCTTACAGCAGGAGACCCTCTTTCTTCTGGGGGCGCGGAGATCACTATGCACAGCCGGGGGTCACATACCCTGGGGGTCCAGTATATTCCCCTGCTCCCTGGCTTTAGGCTACAAGTCGAGGTGATGGACAAAAGAACAGTCCTCGTGTTTGTTGTGCTTGCGGGTGAGGGAATTGTTTTGGCTGCCCCCTGGGGCTCTGGGCTCTCGCCTCAGGAGTGTCTTGAATGAGGAAGCCTCAGAATTGTATTGGCATCCTGAGGCCCAGAAACACACACCCGGCAATGTCAGATTGCGAATATAGTGTTCTGGCCACTCTTCGATCTTTCCCAAAACATTTTGTGTATATTTTTCTGTGATAGCAATTAAGATACTGCAGAGTTTAAAAATTTTATTTTCCTTTTTTTTTTTTTTTGGTTTGTCTTTCTGCCAAGTCTGAATGTCAGTAACTCAATCTTGACGTCCTCAGTGTCCAGCCTAGTCCCCCCCGGAATGTTTGTTGAATGAGTTTACAGGATGAATCCTTGAGTCCAACAGGGTTTCCTGGTCATGGTATTTTTTGCAAAGTAACTTCGTTGTTCAGAAGACTAAAAAGGAAACTGGGGTACTTTTCAGTTTTTAATAATGGCGTGATCTCCTTCAGGTGTTCAGAGAAGCAAATCTTCCGATACAGTTGCACGTAAATGACCTAGAACTAGTACTAAAATGTTTTCATTCCTTTTGAAGGAAAAGCAAGATGTCTATGAAAAGGAATCCAAATTTCTGGACTCCCTGAACTGCCGGACAATACGATTTTGCACATATACAGAGAGACTTCTCTTGGTGGTATTTTCTAGATGTTGGAAGGTATTATAAAATAACATAATAAATACCAATGATATACAAATATACATTTTTAATTTTTTTCTTGTTCAGTGCAACAGTTGTAAGAATATGATTTAAAGTATGTTACAAACTCTTTATAATGTTATTACCACAGCATGGATGACCTGTCTTTTCTGACTGACTTTTATTAATTCTGCTGTTTTGCCTCTCAGGAGATTATACATGTAATAGTAAATGCTCATGTTATTAATAACAAACCATATTAATAAGGGGCATTTATCGCTAGATTATTTTCAAAAGTTGATGCTTGCTCTTTAGAATTAAAAATAAAACTAATACTTTCACCTACATAAATTGGTCTTATTCATATATATATATACATTTCTTTGTTTGCTTTGTCACTACATTTGTTTTTTAGGGAATGTATATTTCTTTTTTGTAAATATATTCACTGATGTCTCCAAGAAGATTTTTGAAAAAAGCAAAGTTACCATCACTTGATAGCACTCTCTTTTCCTTTGATGTTTCATATACGGGGTTCCGTTAATAACTCTATATTGTCTTATGTATATGCTGATATGTTTTAAAACAAAAATACTAAATGTATGGTCTAAAAAATGATTTCTACTATTTAGATTTTTTGTGTAATAAATTTCCAAATGTTAAAGTGGATTACCAATATAGGAAGAATAAAATCATATAGAGATTTTGGGGTTTCTAGTCTCTGTGCTTAATGGACACATTAGCCAAATAAAGTTTACCTACTGAAACCTACCTTAGGACAATAAGAAAAACTAAGTACTAGTAGGATATCTTAATACATGAGTACAGTGTGGGCTATCATCAATACTTAATATATTGTTGTATTAATACTGTCATCTGAATAGTCTTGATGAACACAGTTTATCTTTCACCTCATTGGCAGATTAGATTGGAAGCTTTTGTTAATGTGCATCCTTCATTTTGGGCTTTAGGTTTATGATTATTGCGATTTTTCCCTTCTGCGGACTGAAGTCAGTGGAAGTGGGCAGTTCTTTGCTGGTGGAGAGGTGCTTGCTGCTCACAGAATCATCATCTGGACAGAAGATGGTCACAGTTACATCTATCAGCTGCTGAACAGGTGGGCTCAGATGGGAGCGGCATACAAAACATTCAGGTTGGAAATGAACTTTGGGAGGTTTATTATGGAAAAATCCCTGCATGCCGCCCAAGATCAAAAGCCAGAACAAAACAACTTTGGCACTGGAAGATTTACTCTGGGCTTGGTAGGCTCCGGCCTTTGTATAACACAGCAGGGGACGAAGGAATGAGATTAGCCATGTATAACTTGTACAGCTGGTGCTGGGTTTTCAAAAAGTCACTTGTAATTATTAACCCAACAATTTCTAACTAGAGTTTAGAAACTTGAATGGTACCATCCGGCTTTTGAAATTGGGGAGGGGGAAAAAACAGACGAATAAAGAACCCCAAAGTTCTAAACTTCGCTTTTTATTTTTTGCCACGCAGTGGGCTTTCAAAAAGCATATACCCTGCTGATGGAAGAGTGCTTAAAGAGACCATTTATCCTCATTTACTGTGCTCTACTTCTGTGCAGGAAAATAAGGTAATGCAAGAAAAGGGGCTGCTCAGTGCTGTTCCACTCCCATTCTCAGATAAGTGTTGCTTTGTCTGTAACAGAGTCAGGCTTGAAAAATTGAATTGAAGATTCACATCAATTTGTTAATGAGAAAATCAAATCTAACGGTTAATGGCTACTAAGGAGAAAACTTTGCATTTAAAAAAAAATCTGTTTTCAAGTCTGATTAAGCAATACATATTTATTATAGAAAAAGTATAAATGTTTTTTAAAAGGAGGAGTTAAAATGCCAACTCTGCCACCATAAATATTCATTGTAAATATGTTTTATTATGTGTATTTACTTACTGTAATTGGAAAACTTTTTAAATATTTGAAAAGTTGCAAAATTATTACAATCATCAATAATTTATCTCTTGACTAGATCCACCAGTTGCCAACATTTTACTTTATTTAGTCTCTCCCTCTCTCTCTCTCTCTCTCTCTCTCTCTCTCTCATCCTTTTCTTTCTCTCTGTACTCATACACACACACACACACACACACACACACACTTCACTGATCCTTTTACTATATGGTTTGATACAACATTAACCTTTTAATGTATCTTTCCAATTTTTAAACTTTATCAAAATGTTTATGCCCTGCTTTTTAAAAAATATTGAAATCATTTTCACATGTACTTACCTCTTTTTATGAATAATTGTTCTAATTAAAACAAATTTAATTATGATTCCAGACAAATTTGAGGATATAATTGTGAGCTTTTACTTGGCTGAATTGTATCTTTGACACACTATGAAGCCTGAAAATTTAAGCAGTTATTTTATTATAGTAGTGTTAACCAAAGTGGTGTGTGTTTTTTTAACCTATTGGACTTAGTCATCAGTTAATTATCCAAAAGGCATTTCATGGGGAATGGAGGAGTTTTGAATTACTGATGTGTCAACCAAGGAAGCGTGTTAATTGTTACAGAGTGGTGGTTTGCATAATCAGACAGCATAGCTGTCGGAAATCCTTCAGTCCAGTGATTGTTCCGCTGACATATCTGTGAGGTTTTGTTGCAAAAAGTTGATTAAGAAGCTGTCAGCCAAAAACTAGAACTGCTGGTACCGCTGGGGCGTAGGCAGACCTCAGCATTAGGGCATTCAGCGGTATTTCTACAGCCGTCTGTGGGCAGCAATGGATCTGTGTCCCGTTGTTCACAAAAGCAGCATTGTGGCTGACTCAAAAGGCGTTTTTAGTTATTTTGAAAGGGCCTGCCCTTTTTTCCTTTTCACCTCTAGATTGCAATTTTACAAAGCACAGTTCTCCCTAAAAGCTACATGTAAGTAGTGTCCTTTAGGAGCTTCTAGTCTACTGCAAGTATAAACACTGTACACATAATTACAAGGAAAAAATACAGCAATTATAAAGCAACTTTAAAAAATACTAATCTTGTGGGAAGCTACCTGGTTTTGTTTCTCAAAATGTGAAGAAACGTATTTATGGGCCCTCTATCAGTGATTGTTGTTTAGACAACTGCAGTTGTGTCTGTATTTGAAAGGTGGGAAGTGCTTGTGAACCAGTGCGATATGCCAGAATAATCTAAAACTGAAAGATGATGGTCTACCTATTCTTAGACCCTTGCTTGCCCTTTATCCAGCCAAGAAAAGGAAGTCAGATATTATTTACATTATTCAAAACATCATCACTATTCACTAATTATAAGACTTCTTAGTCAGGCATGCAATTAAGTATGAAAGCATTTTGGTGGAAGGGGGAGATGATTTTGTTAGACCCCGTGAGCTTAGGAAAGGGTGCCGTGTAAACATTTGGTATTTGGGGGGAGGCGGGGATAGATACCATAGAATTTAAATCTCAGGAATTGATAGTAATATGCTCTCAGGGTTACCCTTTGGGGTGTAGGGGACATATCTGCTGATAGAGTTCTAGTAGCAAGAATGGGGCCTTCCCTTCCTTTCAGCAGCTTTCTTAGAGTCTTCCAAGCTTTAAGTCATATCCGATGAGGCCTGTGGCAGGGCTCCTGGCTGTGACAATGAGGAGCCGGGCTTCCCAGGGTCTTAGTTGAGGAGTAAGGCTGCTGCGCTGAGGGGGAGCAACTGGGGTAGAAACAACCTGAGGGCTGCAGGTAAGACATTTGAGGGCATGAACTGAGTAATGACAGCAATGGTGATGATAGTTCTTACTATTGTCAGACATACAGATGGCTTCATTTACATGAGTACCCACCATGTTCCCATGTTAAAACAGGTGTTCAGAGAGATTAATTCCCAGCATTTGAACCCAGGCTGTTTGGCCTGAGAGTCTGGTAATGGGTCTTTGGAGTGGGTTTCTCAATTGTTCTGAAAGTGGATAATAAGACTGGTTAATATTTGTTGAGTATGTACCAACTGCCTGGCACCATTCTAAGCACCTTACCTTATCCACTCAGTCCTGACAGTAGTCCCACATAGTAGGTGCCTTTATTTTTTAAATATATTTTTATTGATTTCAGAGAGGAAGGGAGAAGGAGAGAGAGATTGAAACATCAATGATGAAAGAGAATCATTGATTGGCTTTCTCCTGCACGCCCTATACTGTGGACTGAGCCTGCAACCAGGCATGTGCTCTGACTGGGAATCGAACTGTGACCTCCTGGTTCATTGGTCGACGCTCTACCACTGAGTCATGCAGGCTGGGCCATAGTAGGTGTCTTTATTAGCTTTCATTCCATAGCTAGAGACCATGAGACATAAAGAAGTTAATCAAATTGTCTAAATCAAGTAATTAGCTCCTTTAATAGAGTTAGTATGATTTAAAACCAGTATTTGAATCCAGGCAGCCCCCAAGAATTCACTCTTAATGACTATTTTATTACATCTTGGAGGATGGATACTCCTTGAGATGGGTACTGTATCCTGGGATGATCAGTCAGAATTCATACGGTAAGAGACTCTGAGCGGGCTTTCAGGTGAATTGCAGAACTAGAGGGAACAACAGCACATGGAGCTGGGAGGGAAGAGATGTGCTGCCCCAACTTGAGTAACCCACCAGCCTCTCTAGAGCTTCATTCTCATCAACATATCGAGGGAGGCTAGACTGGTCAATTTTAAGGTTCCTAAAGGCTGAGAGTATTTGGGAAGTTAATTTAACCAAGTTTTACCAGCACCATCCTAACACCATGATGGTGACTATGAGAACTCTATGAGCGCACCTTGCCTTCTGAATCTTAAAAACAAGACAAAACAAGGTTTATTCAGAGAACTGACTTCATAGGAACTGTTTTTCTTTTCATTTCTTAGGATTTTAGAGGATTACATATCTTCTTTGAACTGTCTTGGATTAGTTTCTTATTTTCTTTCTATTTTAGTTTCCTTATCTCCATAACAAGTAGAATAACAATATTTACTTACTGTGTTGTGAGGATTGAATGTAGCAGTATTTTGGCCCCTAATATTTTCTAAAGATACATTATAGAATTTTCCCACTAATTTATTTAAGTTTGGACCTCCAAACATGTATTTTCTGATGAGGAAATTCACTTTCTTAGTCTTATTTTTTTAATGAAAATTCGTTTTTAATTACAGTTGATTTTCAGTATAACATTACCTTCAGGTGTACAGCATACTGGTTAGACCAGCCGCGGGCCGGATCCGACCTGTTTGAAATGAATAAAACTATTGAAATAAAAGACCATACCCTTTTATGTAGTGATGTTTACTTTGAATTTATATTAGTTCACACAAACACTCCATCCATGCTTTTGTTCCGGCCCTCCGGTCCAGTTTAAGAACCCATTGTGGCCATCGAGTCAAAAAGTTTGCCCACCCCTGGGTTAGACATTTATATAACTTACAAAGTGATCCCATCAATAAGACTTTCTTAGGCATCTTTCATTCTAGCACCAGCAGTTGGCTTTCTTTTCAGTGCTCCTTTTATTTATAAATAAAAGTAATTTTTGATTTTGTTTTTCTAATCACCTGATCATTTTGATCCCTTGTGCATAATCCCTATCTACCCAAAGAACATCTACACTGCACTGAGATCCTTGGGAGATTCTAGTCTCATTCACTAATGGAAACCTGTCTTTCAGAGTATTGGTGCCCGATATTCATACGCTGTCTCAGCAAGATTTTAACTCTCTCTAAGCATGTAATATTAATATAAACTATACCAACACAATATAAGATTATGTATATTAAAGTCATATAGTAATACATATTTTAACAATTTGTGTACTCATTCTTATTTTTCTTTGTGGCCACTTAGGAAACTTGATATCAAGTTTGTTGAATTTGAAAAATGTTCATCAGAAAGTGGAAAGTATATTAATTACACAAAATTATTATACAAACATTAGTTGTTATTATTTTAACTGACAACTGGAACATAAAAATGAAGCCTTCTTATTCGACAGTAGAGTATTGTTATCAAGATATGGGCTCTCGAGTCAGAATTAATGGACTCAAGTTCACTACCGTCTATATCACCTTTGATAATCAAATCTCCACTCTCTGTTTATTCATCTGTACAGTGAAGACAATGATAGTACTAACTTCATATATTATTGAGAGGATTATTTAACTGAATATGTACATGTAATGCTCCTAATAGTATATGTAATACATACACAGAACATGTTCAATAAATGTTAGATATTTTTCTTAACTATCTGAAGACTAGCTGATGGCATTTCTTTCTATTTTATAAAAACATTTTTTGTCTTAAATAAGAGATTATAAGTACTTGAACATTTAGAAATAGTGGGAAATAAAATGGAAGCAATTTAGTTCATCTATGAAGTTTTGTTCCTTCATTTAAAAACAGTGGCTGTCATGTTATACTTAGATATTTTCCTACATAAAAGTTAACTTCTTGTTTTGGACCAGAGCCTTCCCTGTGTAATGGGCTACATGAATGAAAGGAAAGAGCCTTTCTATAAGGTACTTTTCTCTGGAGAAGTCTCAGGAAGAATTACTTTGTGGCACATCCCCGATGTTCCTGTATCCAAGTTTGATGGCTCTCCTGGAGGTAAGATGACTTTCACATGTCTCCTGAGAACTAGTTTATAATGAACTCCGTGCTTTTCTAAGTTGAGTAACATGGGTTATAAGCAGGAAGAAATTTCTCATGTACTACTCTGCACTAGATGCCAGCATAAATCCCTTATGTAGATCGTATGCAGCTATACAGCCAATATAATACAAAATAGCAGTAATTTAACATGAGTGATGTCTTATTGAAGTAAAATGAATGCTGGCAATAACAATATAGAGCAGGCTGCTACACCATATTCATATTTTTATTTTGTCATGTCCATATGTTGTACCCCTTTTTCAACCAATTCCTCTATGGGGATATTACAGCTGCGTGGAACAGAAAGCACATAAATAAACGAGGGCACTAAAACATCTGACAATTTGAATGAGTAGATGATTTCACATTTGCTTATTGTATTGCTTCTTAGAATAAAACACTGAAATCATCAATGTAAATGTTATTGTGGAGAGCTTTCAAACTCCTGAGAGAGTGTGTTCCAAACTGAGGAACCCTATCTTACTCCTTCCCCCTTATTCCAAATCAGTTTGTCACCTCTGTGATCATTGTCTGGGGCACAGCTGAATCATGGCTCTTTATACTTGAATTTCCAAGCACACGTTTCCATTAGTAAATTCTTTCACTGGTATCACTTTTCATGTCCCTGCCCCAGTTGTTTTCAAAATGGTTTATTTAGACCTAGATTAACAAGGAATGGGTTGAGAAATAGACTAAGCTTGGTGCAGTGTGTGGAAAAGTTTCTTACAAGCCAATCTTAAGAGTTAAAAAAGTATGCCATGCCCACTGCTGGGCCACTCGATGGTGGCTCTAGGATTTTTCATGTCTGTTCTTCTTAGAGCAGCAGCATTAAATGTCCAGCCAACCTTCTTTGTACTTAGAGCCATAGACATTTACGACAACACCTGGTGCTAGTCTAAGTTTTGGGGTTGAGGTTTTCATCGTCACTGGAGCATGTGTACCATAAGGCCAAGGAGGCCAGGGCATAGCGAGGTAGGTTGGCTTTAACTTGCCTCCTGCTGTCCTGGATGCCAAGCCGTTCTCACTTCCTGAGCCTGCCCGAGGCCCAGTTCTCATGCTTGGGTGCTCGGCTACATAAAATGGTAACCGGCACTTTTGGTAGCCATAGATAGTTGCCTAGGCTTATGGTACAATTTTGAGATGTTCCTATCCTTGCCACTGCAAGAATAAATTTCTTCCCTTTACCTCACACAACTAAAAAAACCCCAATTTTCTTTCTTAACATTGCTAAGGCAAGTAGAGGACTCATGAGATGGGTCTTACAGTTTATATCACTGCAGTAGTTCCTCAGTTCTGTTCAGTAGACCTAAGTCTAAAATGAATGCATTATTACACATTTATTCTTCAAGGATTTTCAAAGGACAGGGGATCAATAATGTTGCCTTTGAATGAAGACAGTGGATTCAGGAGAACTTTTATGCCTATAGCCCACTATGCGGATAGCAAAGGAGCTTCTATGTATCCCCCAAGAGATGGTGCCTTGATAATATTTTCCCAATCTATGCTGGCTAGATAAACCCAAATTCCCCTTCTTGTATGTTTTCCTTTTAGAGATACCAATAACTACCACCTGGACCCTTCAAGATAATTTTGATAAGCATCATATCATGTCACAAAGCATTATCGACTACTTCTCTGGGTTTAAAGATGGAACTGGAACTGTGGTGGTCACTTCATCAGAGTATGTCCCTGGTCTTGATAAACTAGTATGTGGCTGTGAAGACGGGAACATTTTCATTACACAGGCTTTGAGTGCTGCCAAAGCAGGACTTCTGGAAGGAGGTTCTCTATTGAAAGGTCGTTGAATTTTACTTAACCCTACTTATTTAATTTATCTAAGTTTCAACTTTAACAAATTGTACTAAGAAGATTGCTGAAGCTTAAAAAGTTTGCTGGCATTTGCTAATAAATTTGTTAACTTTAAAACAGGTTTTAAAGTTAAAGTAATATGTTTTTTTTAAAGTCAAACAGAAGATTATACAATGAGAAGTGTTTCTGTCCTTCCTTGATTTTCCTGTTTCCTTCACCAAAGGCAACAGCTAATGCATTCTTTATTCCTTTCTCAAAAAATTCTGTGCATATATGAGCATATACCAGCATAGTAATATGCATTCATTTAATTAGTTTACACAAATGAAAACATATTCTGAACACTTTACTGGAATGTTCTTGAACAAATCTCAATAAAATATTTTGGAGCACATTATTTATGAGCTCATTTTAAATGATTAATAATTACCGGTATCAGATTTTAATTTTTGAAAAGATCTTGTTCAAAGATGTTTAAGTTTTTCTAGGCTTTGGCTACTGAAACAATGCAGAATTAACTATCTTTGCACATATATGTGAGTATATTTATAGAATAAATTCCCAGAACTACTGGATCAACATTTGTTTGAATTTTTAATTTTGAAAATTTATCTAAAAATATTCTCCAAAGAACATGCACCAATGTCTATGTGTAATCACTAACAGCTTATGCAAATGCCTTATTCCTCAAGTCTTAGCCAACCTTGTATGCTTGTAAACTTTTTAATATTTGCCAGGCAGTAGAAAAAGGTATCTTCCTGCTTTAATTTTTATTTCTTTGTTAATAAAATCTAAATATGCTGTTCTACATCTTTGAGCATCGCAATAGGGAATACCTATTAAATAAAGATTTATGTAGTAAGTTGTCTTAAGTAAAGGCAGGAAATGTAGGAGGTGATTGAGATTTGGAGATGTGTAGATGAATTTGTATTCTATCTTTTATTCCACAGATCCTACTTGATTACAAGGTCCTTAATGGTAAAGACCAAATCTCATTGAAAAAAAAACACACAAAATAAACTTTTTACCTTGTTTGCTAATGTTCTCAGCTTACTTTGGCTTCTTACTGATGTGTGACTCAGTAATTGACTGAAATAGAGCTGTGAATAGCAATGAACCGAACTGAGGAGAAGTAGTGTCCTGCTATACAGCTCAATGGCTGCTGTTAAAGTTAGTGAAAAAGCTTAAGACCTTAGCAGTTTTTACCAGGGCTGTTTTGTCTTACCCAGAAAATAAGCAGAAACCTGCATTTGACTAGTAGGTTTTATTTTCACTATTTTTATTATTATTATTTAATCCTCATCCAAGGATATTTTTCCAATTGATTTTTTTAAAAAGAGTTGGTGGGGGAGGTGAAGAGAGAGAGAAAAACATCAAAGTGAGAAACATACATGGATTGGTTGCCTCCCACCCATGCCCGACCTGTGGCCTGGGATAGTACCTGCAATCGAGGTACATGCCCTTGACTGGAAATCGAACCCAGGACCCTTTGGTCTGTGGGCCAAGGCTCTAACCACTGAGAAAACCAGCCTGAACACTAACTCTTAAAATAAATTCCTATTTATCTTGGTTTGCACAGGGGATGTAAAGTAAGGGCATACCTGATGGGATAGAAGTAGCTAATGAATCTTTAAAGACGTAATAATGACTTTTTGGAACTCATTTTTAATTTGAATAGAGAGAGTTTGTGTTCTGCGGTCCTTTCCAATTTTTTAGTTAGCTAATGAAAGAAGAAACAGTGTGGGGACTGGGTATCGGTGGCCCTGAGTTCTAGTATAACTATGATATACAATACCATTTTCTACCGAGTCCCAGTATTAAGAAATCATGGCCCCTATCTTATTTCCTTCACACCACAACAGTCTTGTGGGAAGATGTGCTATTATTATCTCAGGTTTTTTTTTAGGTGCCATATCTGTGGCTTAGAGAGGACAAAACTACTTGTCCATGGAGACATATCTATTGAGTGATAGATCCAGAAAAGTAAAGTCATATTTCTTTAACAGAAAGCTATGCTATTAAACATCATGCTGTGCTTTTTCATTTGGATTCAAGTCACTTAACCTCTCTGAGCCTCAAATACTTCATCTGTAAAACTCAGAGTTGGAACTAGGTAATCTCTGATATCTTAGAAAGCAAAAATGTCCTGTGAAAGTTTGTTTTCCTTTGATGCATCTGGTCATGCTAATTAAAAGTACAGCAGTAATGTTCTAAGTTTTTTCTGTAGAGGTGAAACTTTCAAAGTTGTTCACTCTTTTAGTATAGCTTTTGCCATTTCATGGCACTGGTGTTGGTAACTTGCTAACGTCCTAAAAGGATCAGTAGACTTTGAACGAGCAGCGTTAGTGCTTCACCAGGAATGATCTGGCTTCTGAGGAGGCACTTGCCTTTGAGATGGTCCAAGGACTGTTTAATACTTTTGTTAGCCAATTGCCTCACTTTTGTAGTTTTCCTACATTAAAAATTTATAAAAGACAATCTCAGGACTATTTCTTGAACAAAAATAACTTTTGATTATGTGGTGTTGGTTGTTTTTCAGATTCCCTTCCTTACAAAGTTCTCAAAGGCCATCACCAAAGTGTTATTTCATTACTTTACCCACATGGTCTCTCTTCAAAATTGGACCAAAGTTGGCTGGTGTCGGGGGACCAGGACTCATGTGTCATCATGTGGGATATCTTTACTGAAGAAATTTTGCATAAATTCTTTTTGGAAGCTGGTCCAGTAACAAGTCTTTTGATGGCACCAGAGAACTTCAGAGTAAGTTCAGACAAATAGTAAAATATATCACGTAAATTTAAAAGTTATTTAACATTAGAACTAGATGATTTTATGCATTCCTTTCTAATGTTTTTATATGCATGTTATTATTACAGCTTAAGTAAATAATTTGATTTTAAAGCAAAGGTTTTCTCAACTCTTGGCTTCATAAAAGCCAGTTAATTCTAAAGTACTTACATTCTTGTCTGTTTTCTCCTAGTTTTTAATTTATAATGGAGTAAAATTATAAAAGTGATGACAATGTAAAAAAAATTCAAATATATAGGAATTTACAAATTAGAAATTAATTTTGCCTTCAACAATTTACTTTTATAATACTATTGATAGTTACATTTTCTTTTTGTTAAATAAATTTTTGTTTGTTCTTCCTTTTTTTAACAAATAATTAACTTTAAAAAATTTATGAGCATCTACCTTGTGTGGGTGGGACAAATGGAAATACTTTCAGGTATAATTTTATCATGCAATGTAAATTTAAATTCCACAGATCTTATATATTTGTTAAACTCACCTTTTGAGTTTCCTGAATTTTTGTTAGTTAATTGGCTTGTAAAAATTATTTCTCCATAGTAAGATTATAAAAAATCAGCTTCAAATAAACATGGACAAAACTTACACTGTGTTTTTTTTAATATATATTTTATTGATTTTTTACAGAGAGGAAGGAAGAGGGATAGAGAGTTAGAAACATCGATGAGAGAGAAACATCGATCAGCTGCCTCCTACATACCCCCTACTGGGGATGTGCCCGCAACCAAGGTATATGCCTTTGACTGCAGGCTGACGCTCTATCCACTGAGCCAAACTGCTTACGGCTACACTGTGTTTTTGTAGTAGACATAAATAAAGCAATATTTCAGCAATACAAATAATTTAATAAAACAGTGAAATAAAGCTAACTGGCTTAAAATAATAAACTTCCATGTGCTGATTTGGGATATCTTTCTATGTCTTTTATTTCTGAGGTTCCCCTTCTTTATCCCTTTTTTTAAACTATTTTTTTTCTCAGCTCCAGCGTGGTAGTCCAAGTCAGTTCCACTCCTGATCCTCTTTACCTCTGCTTCACTCAGAGATAATTTAACTCTAAGGATCAGAACCCATTCAAACCAAGTCAGATTAACAAGGGAGGTTACCGGAAGGGCATAAGAGGCCATCGTTATACATACAATATGAAACACCATAGCAAGGCCAGAACTTGAATTGAAATATAGAAACCAAGGTTACTCCTCGAGTCTCCCTACCTCAGATGTCTACTTTTCTGTGATTGCTCACTCCTCTTGCCCCTCCCTGTGCCTTCTTTTAGCTTTATTCAAATGCCCGGAGAAAAGATTGTTATTGGCCTCACGTTTACATTTGTGTGTTTATAGCTGAAGTACATTGGACTGTCCATTCTAGAGGCTGTGGGTTGTGCACATTCTCCAGGAGGTTATCTTGGGGAGGCAATGCCATCTTCCCCATTCTCAGGGCCAGGCTCTCCCCAGCTATTCACCTGCCACTTTGTGCTTTTGGTTCCCTCAGGATTTCTGTAGTCTCCTCAAAAAGAACATGTCTCCCAATGCCCCATTGAATGTGGTCAATGATGGGCACTGGGAGATTTTCAAGGGATCCCAGCTGGTGCTTTAAACATAGCAGCTGAAACCCTGGCTAGTTGCCTTTGTGGAAGTGGGAACATCCTAATAGCAAGGTGATTAGAAAAGAAACAGAGAAGGTAGAAAGCCACCACCTGCTTTCCTCCTGCCCCATCCGCCTCACCCCAGCCCACCCCAGCCCACCCCACCCCAGCCCACCTGTATCCATAGTCTGACTATTGTATGAATGGTGGGAAGGCACAGAGCTGCTATAAACTCCTCCCTGATTACCTTCACCAGCACCAGCATGGGTGGTGTCTACCCTAAACTGTGCTCCAGACAACCACATGCTGAGTTTTTTCAAAGTATCTTACGACTCTTTATCCTTTGAGCCTATTTTTGGTCCTTGTGTCTTTGAGACGGAACATTAATTGGGAACTATCTAATGCTGACTTCTTTTAAATTGTGTCTACACTGAGTTTCCTGTTTGGATTAGAATCTGTATAGTTCTGGGAACAGCACCAAATCACATTTTGAGGCTTTAAGTGGAAAATACCAGCTCATGATTCCCTTGCGCCTAAGCTTCTGTCTACAAATAGCTTCTTTTTGTGGCAACAAATTAGCTCCGGGGTTTATTTTACTCTGCATTATTTCCGACGTCTGCCTCACCCTGCCTGAATTTGCTGAGTGATGATCAAGTCCTTCATTTATCTTACAAGTGGATCTGGCCTGGAATTCTCCTTTGTACTTGCATCTCTTGACCTTCCCGACAGGGTGTTGGGTTTAAAATCCACGCAGTGTGAAGCTCTCCTCCAGCGCGTTAGGTGGAGGGGTGCTGTAGAATGTCATTTGACAAGATGGGGCTTTAATAAACATTTGACATTGGCAGGGGCAGGGTCTGATTCAATTTTAAAGAAAGCATTTGGCTGTTTACTTACAAAGGATGTTGCTTGCTTGTCTCCCCCCCCACCCCCCCAACAGCTGAGGAATAGTCAGGTGGTTTTCTGTGTGTGCGGCGACCACTCCGTGGCCCTCCTCCACCTGGAGGAGAAGCGGTTCCTCTTCTGTGCCCGGAAGCACCTGTTCCCGGTGAAGATGATAAAGTGGCACCCGGTTGAGAATTTTTTAATTGTTGGATGTGCAGATGACTCCGTTTACATCTGGGAGATTGAAACAGGTAAATTGACATTTTACCCCTTTTTCATCCTTTACATTTTTATGCATCCAAACATTTGGCTAGGTGGAGAATTCCAGAGAATAAAGCTGTGGTGGCCTCACTTGCTTTAACTTTTGGGTGGACTGTGTTTGATGGCTTCAGGGGAAGGTGGGTGTGGAAAATAAAACAGTGGCCCATGTCAGGTCCTGACCAATGATGACTAGCTGACAGGGCAGTGCACAGGAATGAGCCGGATATTTCTGGAAGCTATAAATAAAGGCATACGTTATCGACTTTAATTATTAACAAGAGAGTAATTTAGTGTCCTACCAGTCTCAAATTATCATTCAATTCTGCCTCCTTCAGCACACTCACCATCTCAGAAACATTTTGAGTTAATTGATGACCAGTAACAATGGAATATAATTAATTCCAAAACTCTAAAAAGTTGAGTCAGGGAAACTGATAATTGAGTGGCTCACCTGAACTTTTGATGTCATAACGAATGTATAGTTTGAACCTTCAATTTTTTAAAGAAAGTTTTGATATATAACTCGAGGGTAACACATCTCAGGCAAATGCTGGGAGCATATCAAATAAGGCAAGGTAATTAGTAAGTGACTCAGGGGAGTACCCTGGAGAGTACATTTTACTGAAACCATTGCATGATATGTATTGATTAACCAGTGGTGGTTTTATGTCAGGTATTACTAACAGGTGGATAGTTTGTAATATTCTAGTTTAGAGCTGTACGTCACCAAAATAATTGCTACTTTCTTTACATTTGACTCTCCTGTGTTAATAATGATGGCTAATGTACTGGTTTACAATGGGTGCAACATAATCCACCTTATATGTGTACCATGCTTCATAGTTTTGACAGGATTCCATGCTTGTTTTCAAATTAGATTGTCACAATTCTAGGATAGAAAGGAAAGGTCTTATTCTCCATTTTATTGATGTGGAATTTGTAGCTCTGATGTATAAATGTGCAAACAATATGAGGGCCCTGGTTGTTCTTTGCACGATATACACAAACTTAGGAGAGTTTTCGAGTTCTTACATAACCTATCTACCTGAGAGACAGTTAAGTATAATGCATAAAATAGACTGTAAAGTCCAGGCTTGCAAACGGGGCCTGATAGCAAAGATCTATAAGACCTTGGCAAATGACTTGGCTTCTTCACATGTCAATTTTCTCATCTGTGCAGTGGGAGTCATAGTTCTGCCTTCTGTTAGGATTAAGTGCCGTGCTTGCAACAGTGCCTATAGGTGCTAAGCCCTTAGTAATCTATATATATAAAAGCCTAAGCAACCGTTACGACAAGTCAACTGAATGACTGGTCACTATGACATGCACTGATCATCAGTGGGCAGATGCTCAACACAGAAGTTGCCCCTGTTGGTCAGTGCACCCCCACAGCCAACCTCCCGTGTTCGGCCAACCTCCCACAATCCCTGCCCCCAGCCAGCCGGCCCTGATTGGCCTTGATCAGGACTGGGCAAGAGGGCCCTGATCGGTCCCAATCACTGGCCAGGCTGAGGAACCCCACCCGTGCACTGGAAAGGGGGGATGCTCCCTCAGCCCAGCCTGTGCCCTCTTGCAATCCAGGACCCCCCAGGGATCGGGCCTAAGCTGGCACTCAGACATCCCTCTCACAATCCGGGGCTCTCGCAGTCCAGGACCCCTCACTCTTTACTATCTGCCTTCCATGGACGCAGGAGAGGCTCACACCACCTCCACTGGGCTCGACAGCCCTGAGCCCAGCTTCTGGCTTGGCGGGGACAGGGAGTGCCACTCAGCCAGAAGCCTGGCTCACTGCTCCTTAGTGCTGGCCCTGCCCCCCGCCCACTGGTGTGGGGGGTGATCTAGGGCCATACTGGCCGTGGGAGGGGCCGTGGGAGGTTGAGGTGTCATGGTCGCGCCCTGTTCCGCCTCTGCGGAGGCTCTGGGACCATGCCCCCCCTTCCCCACCCCTCTGCCTCTGTGAAAGGCCTGGTGCCAGAACCTGGACCATGCAGCCCCCTCTCCCGCCGCCTCTGTGGAATGGGTGACGAAGGGACTAGGCCATGCCTCTCCTGCCCGCCTCTGTGGAAGGGATGACGCCAGGACCCGCAGCTGCATGGGCCCAGTCCCGGCGCTGCCTGTCCCGTGGCTTCTGCGGAAGGGGCAGCGCCGCACTGGGCCTGCGCTGTAGCCTCTGCCACTGTTTCTGCAGAAGTGGGGATGCCAGGACCGCCATGGCTGGCCTGGCAGCACAGGCTCACTGGCCCCACCCCCTGCCCACTGGTCATTCCAGTTCAGCTGTCCAGTCTAATTAGCATATTACACTTTTATTATGATAGATTATTATTGTCATTAACATCATAAAAGAATGTGGCAAAATCTTGACTTCTGCTTGTGAAGTCTGAGTCTGTAGCACACATGCACTTATAAATATGTGCAGTTGCATTGTATTCAATCGTGGATACTGCTAATAAAATATTTTCCCTGGAAAATGGAATCAAGCTAAAATACAGAGATCTGTCCGCTGGACAGAGAAGAGGAGGGAAAGATGGAGTGGACTGTCCAATGGACAATAATCATCATAGTGGATACATCATGCTTTAACTAAGGAATCTCCTACAGTTGGTTATTTATATTGCTTTTTATAGAACGGTTTTAGCCTGGCCAGTGTGGCTCAGAGGTTGAGTGTCGACCAATGAACCAGGAGGTCACTGTTCAATTCCTGGTCAGGGCACATGCCTGGGCTGCAGGCTCGATCTCGGGGGTGGAGGGGAAATGTAGGAGGCAGCTGATCAATTATTCTCTCTCCTCACTGTTTCTATCTCTCTCCCTCTCCCTTCCTCTCTGAAATCAATAAAAAATATATTTTATTTAAAAACGTTTAAAATTGTCATATCAAATAATATGCACACATTTTGTGTGCATTATTTAATATTAATAGTTAATTAATGTGCCATATTAACTTATAGAATATTTGTTTCAAATAAGACAGTGAGGCTGTTTATTTCTTGGTTGTTTACATTAAGTTTATAAACAACTGTAACTCCACCTAAGATGGATCTTATTATAGGTGAAAATATTATTAATCACTGTATCAATGCCTTCCCATTTGAGATGTACCTCTTCATTTTTTCAAAGCATCCTCTCATTGATGGTCTCATTTGAGTCCCACAACACTCTGTGGAGGTGGCTGGCAGCCTACATTTTCTTACCGCACTCATTCCTTTTAAATAAGTTTATATTATTCCTTTAATCTTGTGCCTGGTATTAATTTTTTTTTGGCTTCCCTTTAAACTCTGCAATTCCAATTTTGCTTAAAATTTAATGATCTTTTTTTCTTTCCCAAGCTGGGTTTCAGGTAGCTATGATGCTTTCATCATGGTTATTGTACTTGATTTCTATTTCATCTTTTTCCTTAAACGTAGAAAAATCTAGGGTCAGGAAGCTTATAGTTTCATAAATTGAGGGT